CCCTTACCTACTGTCTCATTGTGGCTAGTGCCTACCCTTACCTACTGTCTCATTGTGGCTAGTGCCTACCCTTACCTACTGTCTCATTGTGGCTAGTGCCTACCCTTACCTACTGTCTCATTGTGGCTAGTGCCTACCCTTACCTACTGTCTCATTGTGGCTAGTGCCTACCCTTACCTACTGTCTCATTGTGGCTAGTGCCTACCCTTACCTACTGTCTCATTGTGGCTAGTGCCTACCCTTACCTACTGTCTCATTGTGGCTAGTGCCTACCCTTACCTACTGTCTCATTGTGGCTAGTGCCTACCCTTACCTACTGTCTCATTGTGGCTAGTGCCTACCCTTACCTACTGTCTTATTGTGGCTAGTGCCTACCCTTACCTACTGTCTCATTGTGGCTAGTGCCTACCCTTACCTACTGTCTCATTGTGGCTAGTGCCTACCCTTACCTACTGTCTCATTGTGGCTAGTGCCTACCCTTACCTACTGTCTCATTGTGGCTAGTGCCTACCCTTACCTACTGTCTCATTGTGGCTAGTGCCTACCCTTACCTACTGTCTCATTGTGGCTAGTGCCTACCCTTACCTACTGTCTCATTGTGGCTAGTGCCTACCCTTACCTACTGTCTCATTGTGGCTAGTGCCTACCCTTACCTACTGTCTCATTGTGGCTAGTGCCTACCCTTACCTACTGTCTCATTGTGGCTAGTGCCTACCCCTACCTACTGTCTCATTGTGGCTAGTGCCTACCCTTACCTACTGTCTCATTGTGGCTAGTGCCTACCCCTACCTACTGTCTCATTGTGGCTAGTGCCTACCCTTACCTACTGTCTCATTGTGGCTAGTGCCTACCCTTACCTACTGTCTCATTGTGGCTAGTGCCTACCCTTACCTACTGTCTCATTGTGGCTAGTGCCTACCCCTACCTACTGTCTCATTGTGGCTAGTGCCTACCCCTACCTACTGTCTCATTGTGGCTAGTGCCTACCCCTACCTACTGTCTCATTGTGGCTAGTGCCTACCCCTACCTACTGTCTCATTGTGGCTAGTGCCTACCCTTACCTACTGTCTCATTGTGGCTAGTGCCTACCCTTACCTACTGTCTCATTGTGGCTAGTGCCTACCCTTACCTACTGTCTCATTGTGGCTAGTGCCTACCCTTACCTACTGTCTCATTGTGGCTAGTGCCTACCCTTACCTACTGTCTCATTGTGGCTAGTGCCTACCCTTACCTACTGTCTCATTGTGGCTAGTGCCTACCCTTACCTACTGTCTCATTGTGGCTAGTGCCTACCCCTACCTACTGTCTCATTGTGGCTAGTGCCTACCCTTACCTACTGTCTCACAGCTTCCTCCTTACCTGTGTCTGTTACTGGTATGTCACGCTGGCCGCCACTCTTATACCTTGCGTCCCTACCCGATCCATAGTGTAATATATGTGTGATAAATGAATATGCATCAGTGTGCTAGATAATTAATGCATTAAAGATGAAAATGATTGTAAATAGACTGGTGGTAGTTAGCGATAGATTGGGGGTGATCAGGAAGGGTCTGTCGGCTCGCTGGCCAACAATTACTGGGTATTAGGTACCGCTTTCTGGCCCTCCCAGTCCCGCTCCAGGCGCGCCAGCTCCCACTCTCTCCAAAACACCCATATTAACTTATTTTAAGTTTAAATATGCTCAAATATTATAATACAATTTGATTTATTTATATTTGAGAAGATATAGGTTATTACGCCATGTGAATAGACTGGGGATATGGGGGGACGGGGAAGGGGGATGGCTTGAGTAGGTGTTGAAACAAGGAGGAGGACGCGGTGAAGGAACAAGTTCCTTCACGCGGTGAAGGTGTAGTCTGCAGGTGGTGGTGGTGGGTCTTCATCAGCAGTGAAGGGGGTAACAAGGTAGACACTAATGATCAAATTCTGTCTTTGTTGTCGACCCAGGGCTTTGTTGGTGTTCCAACGCCGATTTGCCTTTGATGTAGCGACGAGACCTTTAGATCACTGTTTTAACTCTCTCACTCTCTGCCAGCCACTTGGGCGGTCCCACAGCCACGACCTCGCTTCTTGCAGGTCGGTATGTGGTCCCTGGTGGTCCATGTGGTCGGTGGCTCTTCCATCCCTCCGTCTTATCCCAGATCCTTGTCCTCATGTCCCTTCCAAGAGCTATACTGCCTAACTGGCTTAGCAAACTTTCCTGATATTTAACTTAACTCTCTTGCGTCATTCACACACACTCTCTTGCGTCATTCACACACACTCTCTTGCGTCATTCACACACACTCTCTTGCGTCATTCACACACTCTCTTGCCTGAACACATCTTCCGTTTTTCACATACTAGGTGAAAGCAGACTGCGTGTTCTCTGGCTGTCAGGAATCATTCGACATAGTTCCCTACATGTGACTAGTGCACTAGTAGGAGCAGCGGGCGGGAGCAGCAGCCAGGTATTACCTAACTAACACAAAACTAAGAAAAGAGTCTTCACAATGGCGAGATATCACCCAGGAGATTCCACAGGGGTCAGTTCTACGACCTATCCTGTTTCTGTCCAATCTGATGAAGTGATTCAAATCAGGTGGAATACGCAGCACCAGCACGGAACCCACACATTATTAAAGCGTGGAAACAAACTTGATAAAAGTCAAGAGAGTTGCCATTAAGCGAGTGAAGGCTGGAGGGAGAGAGGGAACACGGAGGGAGGGAGGAAGGGAACACGGAGGCTGGAGGGAGGGAGAGAACACGGAGGCTGGAGGGAGGGAGGGAGGGAGGGAACACGGAGGGAGGGAGGGAGAGAACACGGAGGGAGGGAGGGAACATGGAGGAAGGGAGGGAGGGAACATGGAGGCTGGAGGGAACATGGAGGCTGGAGGGAACATGGAGGCTAGAGGGAACATGGAGGCTGGAGGGAACATGGAGGCTAGAGGGAACATGGAGGCTGGAGGGGGCGGCTCCAGCTAGCCCTCCACCACAGCCTAACATCACCGCTCAACACCTAATATCGACTCATAATGAAGACCAAACATGAGAAAATTGTCTTGCCGTTCTTGCCACAAGCGAGGAAAGATGTGACGTGTTAAGATGACGTGTGACGTGCTGGGATGACGCGCGACGTGCTGGGATGACGCGCGACGTGCTGGGATGACGCGCGACGTGCTGGGATGACGCGCGACGTGCTGGGATGACGCGTGACGTGCTGGGATGACGCGCGACGTGCTGGGATGACGCGCGACGTGCTGGGATGACGCGCGACGTGCTGGGATGACGCGTGACGTGCTGGGATGACGCGTGACGTGCTGGGATGACGCGCGACGTGCTGGGATGACGCGCGACGTGCTGGGATGACGCGCGACGTGCTGGGATGACGCGCGACGTGCTGGGATGACGCGCGACGTGCTGGGATGACGCGTGACGTGCTGGGATGACGCGCGACGTGCTGGGATGACGCGCGACGTGCTGGGATGACGCGCGACGTGCTGGGATGACGCGCGACGTGCTGGGATGACGCGCGACGTGCTGGGATGACGCGCGACGTGCTGGGATGACGCGCGACGTGCTGGGATGACGCGTGACGTGCTGGGATGACGCGCGACGTGCTGGGATGACGCGCGACGTGCTGGGATGACGCGCGACGTGCTGGGATGACGCGTGACGTGCTGGGATGACGCGCGACGTGGGAACATGGGAAGGTAGGAGCTGGGATGGGATGACTGCTGGGATGACGTGCTGGGATGACGCGTGACGTGCTGGGATGACGCGTGACGTGCTGGGATGACGCGTGACGTGCTGGGATGACGCGTGACGTGCTGGGATGACGTGTGACGTGCTGGGATGACGCGTGACGTGCTGGGATGACGCGTGACGTGCTGGGATGACGCGTGACGTGCTGGGATGACGCGTGAGGATGACGCGTGACGTGCTGGGATGACGCGTGACGTGCTGGGATGACGTGTGACGTGCTGGGATGACGCGTGACGTGCTGGGATGACGCGTGACGTGCTGGGATGACGCGTGACGTGCTGGGATGACGTGTGACGTGCTGGGATGACGCGTGACGTGCTGGGATGACGCGTGACGTGCTGGGATGACGCGTGACGTGCTGGGATGACGCGTGACGTCATCTAGTTGCGTTGTTGTTGCGCTTGCGGGCGTTGAGCTCTGGCTCTTTCGGCCCGCCTCTTAATTGTCAATCAATCAACTGTATTTTTTCGACACACACACACACACACACACACACACACACACACACACACACACACACACACACACACACACACACACACACACACACACACACAGGAAGCAGCCCGTTACCGCTGTCTAACTCCCAGGTACCTATTTACTGCTAGATGAACAGGGGGCATCAGGGTGAAAGAAACTCTGCCCACTTGTTTCCGCCTCCGCCGGGAATAGATTCCCAGACCCCTAGGACTACGAATCCCGAGCGCTGTCCACTCAGCCGTCAGTCCACTGAGTGTGAGTGTGTGTGTGTGTGTGTGTGTGTGTTGTGTGTGTGTGTGTGTGTGTGTGATGGATACCCTCGCGGCTAGTATATTGTAATGAGTTGATGGTTGGCCGAAGGTACGGTAGCCCGATAGTGGAAATTGAGAACCCTTTGTGTATGACCAATCATCAGTAGGAGGCTACAAAGCGACCTCCGCCTCACTCACCACTTAGTCATCCTGGACTCAAAATGAAGGATTGGAGGCCGAATGAACGGCGAGGACGGATTGGACTCCTTGTGGGAGGAGGCTCGCCATACTCTAACAATCTCCCATGCATCCCCCCCATGCTCTCCAATCTTCTCCCATGTTTTCTTATTTTGTCGAACGCTTCCTCTAGTTTTCCCGTTCTCTATTTTCATCACATACTTTCCTATTTTCTCCCGCGTTCCAGTTTTCTCAAGTACTTTAATTTTTCCCAATGAAACGTGATTCTTTCACACTGTCGCCCTGACTTCCACAACCCCACACTAACTCCACCTGGCCATCCAACAGGTGACAACGCCTAGGAAGCGAGCGGCCATAGTGTTGGACAAGCTCATGTTCGCCTTGCAGAAGGCGCTTGACGACACCCCGGCCTCCCCTTCGTCAGGAGCCCCAGCCTCCTACCCCAGGACCAGGACCTACGCAGCAGGACCCGTAAGTCTACAGTATTGTGCTCTCTGGATATATGTCTTTACGACAAATCCCTCTTGTATCAACTCATTACAATTTATTGTTTATTCTCACATCACCGTGAATAACAAACACACACACACACACACACACCACCACAATGGATACTAAAGGAAGGAAGGAGCAGAAGCACTATGCCTGCCACTTTCCATGATGTGTAACAAATCACTGGTAACAGGTGAACTGCAAAAAATTTGGAAGACAGCCAATGTAGTCCCGTTATACAAGAAGGGGGATAGACAGGAGGCACTGAACTGTTAGGGCCAGTGTTCCTAACTTGCATACCATGCAAGTTGATGAAGAAGATTGTGCGGAAAAAAGCTAGTGGAACATCTGGAGCGAAGGAACTTTGCGACAACATCAACATGGGGTTCAGGGATGGCAAGTCATGCCTCACAGGATTAATTGAATTCTACGATCATTCAACACAAATAATTCAAGAAAGAGAGGGGTGGGCAAACTGCATATTTTTTCATTGCCAGAAAGCTTTTGACACAGTACCACACAAGAGGCTAGTGTAAAAGCTGGAGATGCAGGCAGGAGTGAAAGGGAAGGTACTCCATTGGATAAGGGAGTACCTTAGCAACAGAAGACAGCGAGTCACTGTGAGGGGTGAGGCCTCAGATTGGCGAGACGTCACCAGTAAAGTCCCGCAGGGTTCAGTCCTTGGACCTATACTATTTCTGATATGTGTAAATGATCTCCCGGTGGGTATTGAATCGTTTCCTCTTATTGTTTGCTGAAAGGATTTTTGAGGAGGATTAAGACGGAAGAAGTTAGTATGAGGCTAACAGATGACCTAGACAGACTGAATGAATGGTCCAGCAAATGACTACTAAAGTTCAACACGAGTAAATGTAAGGAAACTAGGCAGTGGAAACAGGAGGCCAGACAGAAGATACCGAATGGGAGATGAAGTACTTAATGAAACGGACAGAGAAAGATCTAGGAGTTGATATCACACCAAACCTATCTCCTGAAGCCCACATAAAAAAAATAACATCTGCGGCGTTTTTTGCAATCAGGAACCTGTACAAGGAATCATTCAGAACTTTGTATACCACATATTTAAGACCAATCCTGGAGCATGCGGCCCCAGCATGGAGCCCGTACCTTGTCAAGCACAAGACGATGCTTGAAAAAGTTCAGAGGTATGCCACACGGCTAGGCCCAGAACTAAGAGGCATGAGTTACGAGGAAACGCTGCGTGAAATGCACCTCACGCCACTGGAAGACAGAAGAGTAAGAGGAGACATGATCACGACCTACAAAATTCTCAGAGGAATTGACAGGGTAGGTAAAGATAAATTGTTTAACACGGCTGGTACGCGAACAAAGGGTCATAGGGGGAAACTGAGTACCCAAATGAACCACAGGGACGTTAGAAAGAACTTTTTCAGTGTCAGAGTAGTTAACAGGTGGAATGCATTAGGCAGTGATGTAGTGGAGGCTGACTCCGTACACAGTTTCAAATGTAGATATGATAGAGCCCAGTAGGCTCAGGAATCTGAAGATCGGTTGATCGACAGTTGAAAGGCGGGACCAAAGAGCCAAAACTCAACCTCCTGCAAGCACAACTAGGTGAGTACACCGACCTTTACAAAATGCAAATTAAACCAGAATGAACAGAAATCATTTTTCATGTGAGCATGTGTCTGGTTGGCGCCCTCAGTGTACACCCTCGACTTGCGCCTCACATTTACTGTCCTCTCACTCACCAACATACCTGTACACCTGAAAGCATCCTCAGATCAAAAGTAGTATCCGTTCATTTTTGTTTGAACGGAAATATATGTATAATATATATTTCCGTTCAAACAATATATATATATATATATATATATATATATATATATATATATATATATATATATATATATAAATATATATATATATATATATATATATATATATATATATATATATAATTTTTATATATAATAATTTATATATATAATATTTATATATAATTTTTTATATATATAATTTTTACAAAATGTGTGTGAATTAAAAATTTGTGTAACTAGCCTCACATTATTAAAATGAACAATGGGTTCAGTTCGTGAGCTCATTATGTGCCTCCATAACCCTTTCCACCATATCCACGGGTCAGGTGAAACAGGTCATAGTTACTTAACGTTACTGGTATCTCTTCCCTCTGGGTCAAAAAAGGCCCATATGGGTATTTAGGCTTATCGAGCCCCTCCCTCCCCCCCTCTCACCCTGGCTAAATATATACCTTCCCTAGGATGCATCCCATAAGAATAGCCTAACTCCAGGGAAACTTAATTTTACTGCGAGGTGAAAAGATGCATCAGGTAAAAGAAAACGTACCAATAATGAATCTAAACGTTTCTTCCTACAGATGGATCTTCAACGGCGAGGTAATGGCGACGGGCGGCTGTACTGGAGGTGCTACTTCAACGCCGTCTCCTGCTTCTAACCTCCAAGCCTCCCTTAGGTCCACTACCCCAAGAATGTTTATTTGAAAATATGATCCAAGATTTTTGAGCCGAACGCTGTACCCAACTTCGTTTTAAAGGAACAGTTTGTCACCACACAATCATGGTGCGACGATTTGATTATTCATACGTAACACTGCGTTTATACAGGTTTAGGAACAGATTTCGATTAGTTTAATATTTGGTTTCTATGTGAAGGAAGGATACCAATAAATATACCACGGACGCTTAATCTAAAAGATGTGCCAAATGATACATGTTAATGATTTACATATAATAATATAAATTCTTACAACTTAAGGGGAACGTGATACTATTAACAAGTGAAGAAAACGGAGTGCATGTATTCCCAGTTGTGTCAGTTACTCAGTGTTCACCTGTCTATGTGTTGTTTGCCACGCTCTCTATGTACATATATGCACCCATCAAGTGTTCACAACCAGCAACATCCTCGACGTTGTTAACCATTCCAGATGGCGTTTAAATTATTAAGGAAATAAATCCTTGAACGATTCATGCACGTTTTCTATAACCATTTTAGGGGAATGCATGAATCCAAATACAGAAGCTGATTTTGTTGTGGTACGACAGCTTAGTATATCAGTCATCAATTTGTATAGTGCATTTTATCAAGTTATTTAATTTAATTTAATACCAGGTCATACACTCTTTAATAAAATACAGAGAGTTCAATTGAATAGGCCTACATACAAGATGAAGATGGCAGGAAAGCAGCATTAGGCGTTGATCTATTCCAGAGCCCAGATGGTGATTTTTTTCTGAATCCAGGAAGTTGCCTCCAACGGCTCCAATGAATCTCTGCCCAGCAGGCAAGCAATGTTCGAATAGCTATGATTCAACCCTGCATCAAGGTCAATTGCCATCTGAATAGACACATTTACACTTTTTGCATTAATCTCCATCAAATATACAGGAAACATACAAAAATGAATACCTGTATAAATCAATTAATTTGCTCATAATCTAATATTTGCATATTCATCAAAGCGGCTTCCAGAGATGTTGAAAACATAGCCGCTAACTACAGAAAAGTATTAACTTTAATGCCCAGACAATATTTGTTCTTCATATTTAAACAAAACAATTAAATGTTTAGTCCCTCCACTTACGTGTTGCTTCCCTTAAGGCTACAGCTTTTAATGACAGTTCTTATTATTACTGCTCTGACATGTCGATAGATACCCGGAAATAAAGATTCAATTATTCTAAAGTTGTCTTATTTTGTCCTGCTAAGATACAAGTGTCTTGTCTTGTCTCCTCCCTGCCCGTGTCCTCTCAGTCTGACCATGTCTTAGGTTGGACGAAAGCGCTAACTACTGCATCCTATGACCACAGATATAATTGAATTTATATAATTGAAGCAAATACAACTGGTAACAAATCTTTAATATGAAACTTAACCGGACCTACTCAGGCCAATGTGAGGTCAGAGAAACCGAATATCCCTAGAGAACAAGTAGAGTTACTCACAGGCCATTGTGTCACCACTTTTCCATCACAAACGCCGTGGTCGGGCGCCGAGGACAGACTTAACCACTTGATGATGACACAAGAAACTTCCTTGGTCGGTCCTGAGACATTTTACCTGGCACAATGAAATTAAACCGCAGTAACCTTCCCAGGTTGTACTCGGGACAAGGCAGGGGTGTCCGCGCCATGTTTGTTTACGCTGGTTACGAAACAGAGAAGCCAGGGTTTGTTTCACAGGGATACGGACCAAAAACTGTAGTCTGGATAATCACGTAAATATTCCTAGGCCTAGTATAGCAGATATATGTACTTTATTGGGCCTCAGCTAGCGTGTATTAAACCTAGAATGGTTAGATTATGTTAGGTTTTATTAGCAACATAAATGCAAACTCTTTTCCGGTTTGTTCAAATTCAATAGTACTAAATTCTACTTTCTAATTTACCATTACGTCAATATATATACGATGGTCCACATCGGTATTATAAGTACTATATAAAGAGGAGATTGGGCTGCATATAACTTATTTATACCTATCAAATAGAATGTCTGCGTGTATGTCCGAGATTGGAGGGCAGGGCCCGAATTCAACAAGCATTTACGCAAAATCTTAGGCAGCTTTGTTTACATTTATTAAGCAGTTTACGAACATCAAAACTTCCCAGTCAAATGTTATTACTGTTATAAACAGTCTCCTAGTGCTTCGGAGTTCATAAATTATTCGTAAGTGCTGGCGTAACTGTTTGTTGAATCAGCCCCAAGCCTCACCCAAATTTGCGTAATGATTGTTGTGGAGTACTTGTCCAACACAGGTGGGTTGGCGGCGGTACAAATAAAATAAATAGTATAAATAACATAACACGGTCTTATAGCGATTCCCATGGCAATTTTGGCACTGGATACTGGGCTCATCCTCTCTCAAAACAAAAAAATTATAAAATTATTTTTCTTATAATCTTGTGAATAAACATTTTGTCCTGATTAGTCACGACAATGATAACAAGAAATCTACTCCATCGTAATTTGTCCTTAGCAAGGAAAATGCATTTTGATGTCAATTTTGATAATGTTACTCGCCCACACAGCCACGCTGGTCCACATGTTGACCTCTGTACAGAGAGACGACGAGATAGAGACAGACACACGCAGATACAGAGACAGGGTCGACCAGGGTACCAAAAAGTATATATAAATAATTGATTGTTTATCTCTCGGAAATCCAAATTTTGTAAGGAGCAGCTGAGGCAATGAATTCATGAACATTTTCTTTGATTTACTGTCATTAGACGCTTTTGAGAATTACACCTATCGTCACTGCTAAAATATGAGCATAATACTCGGCGAATATTAGCTAAAAAATAAATAAAATATCGAGATTCATATAATTTGAAATTAAATTTAAATATCTGCACGCTCACTAGGCTGCCTCATCTTCAACGAGTTATTGTCTAAATGAATTACAGAACATTATCAAAAAAATATACAGAAAAGTAAAGTGTAATTAAAACTTGTGATAGAATGTAAGCATACTATAAGGGCAACAATCACATGAGTATATATATAAGCGAATCCTGGAATCGTGTCCAGTTTCTTCAGTGTGACATGAACAATGTAATGACCAGCTGGCCTTCAACACTACAAAATAAACAGTGACAATATGCAGACTATTGCTTTAATAGTCGTGGTCTGTGAGGTCCACATTAAGATAAAGTGAGTGAAAGAAGATGCCGGGTGAGAATTTACCCGTTGGAGATGTTTTTGCGTCAACCGGTTTGATGCCTTCTTTTTGATAATTACTTACTTGCGTCAACCTGTGCTCCTGGTTGATTGTACACCGAGGAAGAAGGAGTAAAATATATGGATAACGATATAATAATAATGGAACGTGTCTATACATAATGCAACAAAGACATATGTTTATTGATGGAACAATTCGGTGCTTGATAGAGCCTGACAAGTCAGAGAAATATTTTTATTTTAAATTAATCAATGACGTCTATATATTAAGCACAACTTAACTTACTTACCTCTATCAATGTAAGAGGGCACTGAGCGTCAGGTTGGAGGTGATCATCTTCCAGGTTGAATGATAGATGAAGATTAAGCCTCCCAAGAGGTGGCACGGTCATGAATAGCTTGCAAATCTCCCAGGTAACTAGAATATTCTTAAAATGGTAAGACACCTTAGGAAAACTTAGGTCTAGTACTACGGCATAAAATCTCAGGCAGAACAGATGTTTCAACAGTTACAGCCCCGCTCCGGTGCCAGGCAAGTTCACTACGTGCTCACCATAGCCTGTGTTACTTGGAAACGTTTTGTTCCGAGTAGCTGAATATAAAACAACAACAATCTTTTCTGGCTGATCTTTTCTGTACCTACCTGTATATACACCTGAAAATGTCCAGCGTATTTAAGGATCGAAACTGCAAAAATTGAGGATGCCAACCCTCTCTAATAATCTAGACCTTTCCTTTGGCAGTGTGGCTGGGAGAATTATATTTTTACACTGACAGGTTGCTCTTTCCATGGAGGAACTAGAAAAACAACAGTTCCTTGAAGGTTGGGAAAGGAGAGCAGAAAACACGCTTCTAAAGCTCTGGCTGGAAATAGCGCCCTTCCACCCCCCCCCCCCACAAGAACAGCCAGGTCGTTTGTTTTGAAAATTGTTATTTTTTTTAAATTGGTTTTACTATTTGGCCTCTTGTTGTATCCTGGTGAAGAGGTGTATGGGTAGCAGGGAGGAGCAAGATCCTCTAGAGTCTGAGACACGACAAAGATCATCCCTTATAAATGGCATAATAGAGACATGCCTTCATACAACGCCTTCAAATGTAACATAGCAACGATCAGGCTTCATCAATGACGTGACAAAGATCTGCCCTCGTAAATACCATAACAGAGCTGCCCTCGTGACTGAATTGTTTAACTACAACACGCTTCGCCGTGGGGCTCATGTCGCTGGGCATTTAACTGTTAATTATTTATTATACATAATTGGCAGCGAGTTTGTTCTGAATGTGCAAATTATACAAACTGATGAAACTGTAATGAACTTTTCAGAAGGTTTATAGTATCTGTAAATTGTTGCTCATATTATTTTATTTAAAAATTTGTCAACAGTTTAACATATACTGTCACATAGAGAATATTTTTTTTAGGACAAAGTGTGCCGTAGTGCGCATGCACGTTCGCACGCATGCACGTAATGGAATGCATTAGGAAGTGATGTGGTGGAGGCTGACTCCATACACAGTTTCAAGTGTAAATATGATAGAACCCAACAGGTTCAAGAACCTGTACACCTGTTGATTGACGGTTGAGAGGCGGGACCAAAGAGCCAGAGTTAAATCCCCGCAAGCACAATTAGGTGAGTACACGCACGCACGTCTGGGTCAAGAAGACCTAGACAAACTGAAGGGATGGTCGAATATATGGTTGTTAGAGTTAAACCCAAGCAAATGTAATGTAATGAAGACAGGTGTAGGGAGCAGGAGGCCAGATACAAGGTATCATTTGGGAGATGACATTCTTCAAGAGTCGGAGAGAGAGAGAAAAACTTGGCAGTTGATATCACGCTAGACCTGTCCCCTGAAGCCCATGTCAAGAGGATAACATCAGCAGCATATTCCAGGTTGGTCAACATAAGAACGGCATTTAGAAATTTATGTAAGGAATCATTCAGAACACTGGATTTGTTCAATTATTTAGAACTTTGTATGCCACCTATGTCAGATCAATCCTGGAGTATGCAGCCCCAGCATGGAGTCCATATCTAGTCAAGCATAAGACTAAACTAGAAAAGGTTCAAAGGTTTGCCACCAAACTAGTACCTGGGCTGAGAGATTTGAGCTACGAGGAGAAACTACGGGAATTAAACCTGACGTCGCTGGAAGACAGAAGAGTTAGAGGGGACATGATCACCACGTACAAGATTCTCAGGGGAATTGATATGGTAGAAAAAGACAGGCTATTTAACATAAGGGTCACACGCACTAGGAGACACAGGTGGAAATTGAGTGCCCAAATGAGCCACAGAGATATTAGAAAGAATTGTTTCAGTGTCAGAGTGGTTGACAAATGGAATGCATTAGGCAGTGATGTGGTGGAGGCTGACTCCATACACAGTTTCAAGTGTAGATATGATTGAGCCCAATAGGCTCAGGAACCTGTATACCGGTTGATTGACAGTTGAGAGGCGGGATCAAAGAGCCAGAGCTCAACCCCCCCGCAAGCACAAATAGGTGAGTACACACGCACACACTAAAGGAGCAGGTTGCAGAAGCAAAATTCATTCATAAGTTTAAAGTATATATGATAGGGAAATAAGTCAGGGAACCTCTAGCCTCCAGTAGTGCATTAAACTACTGGCGTCTAGAAAAGCGGGGTCCAGGGGAAGAGAACTACCAGGAAAAAGCGCCGAGCCATTACGACTATATAGTACTTGGAAGGGATCAGGATTAGGATTTGGGATGGGACAGGGGCTAGGAATGGTGCCCAAGCGGGATGCAAGAGCTAGTGCTAGATCCTACAGGCACAAATAGGTAAGTACGCACACACTACACCGGCATGGAATCAGCACCTTGTGAGACAAAGCCAAAATCGAAAAAAGTACAAAGGTTTGCAAAAAGATTAGCTCCAGATATTAAATGGTTAAGCTTCAAGGATACGCTAATGAAACTAAATCTCAAAACGCATGAGGGTATTAGAATCAAAAGGGATATGATCATAACATACAAG